GGACTTGACACCAAACGATTATCATCTTTTTCATGCATTGCAAAATTTCTTTAAAGATAAAAAATTGGTATATAGAGAGAATTGTGAAAATCGACTACTAGAGTTTTTTTTCAAATAGAGAGCAGGACTTCTATGAGAGAGGCATTGTGAAGTTACCTTTAAAATTGCAACAAATCATACAAAAAAACGGTGCACGTTTCCACGACATATAGTCCGGACTTGACACCAAACGATTATAATCTTTTTCTTGCGTTGCAAAATTACTTTAATGATAAAAAATGGGTATTTAGGGAGGATTGTGAAAATCGACTACTAGAGTTTTTTTGCAAATAGAGAGCAGGACTTCTATGAGAGAGGCATTATGAAGTTACCTTTAAAAAGGCAACAAATCATACAACAAAACGGGTCATATTTAGATGGATTTCTTTTCCCCAACCTAATGCTTTTGAAGGGGTTGAACCCTAATATGGGGGCTATGCCCATGATTGACATATATTACTAATTCTGGTAATAATTAGTGGTAATGACAACCAAAATTGTAAAATTATAGCCAATTCGGATGCAAACGACCCTAACTTTCTCAAAAATCATAATAATGGGGGTTGTATAGAGTTATACCAAAACTTGGACCCACGTTGATAATTTTTGGTAGAAAGATTTTTCTACCACGTGAAAATCCATAATATCAAATTAAAGTCCATTCGGTTAAAAAACTTACCCAAAATTTTGAAAATAATGGAAGTTGTCGTTTTACGGGATCGTTTTGCCACGAATTGTTGTCCAATATTGATCAATTATGTTAGGGCCATTTTCTAACCAAACTTCTCAAAACCGCGAATTTGAGAGGTGCCGTTGTATATTTATAATTTTTGAAGGGATATTTTATAACCAATCAAAATCCAAGAAAAGCTAAATCACATACCCTGAAACTTGACTCAATATTTATAATTTTTGAAGGGATATTTTATAACTAATCAAAATCCAAGAAAAGCTAAATCACAGCCATTTTGATTGAAAATGGAGTATAAACTCCACAAAGTACCGAAATTTTGAAGGGTTGTTGTTATATGAGGTCTATCTTAAAAAGTGGACCTATATTCATTGTTTTGCCAACCAATGGGAAACCAAAATATCGATAAACAGCCAATTCGGTGGAAAAACAAAATCCTCAAAATACCTAATATTGGAAGGTACTGTTATATAGAGGCTATACTAAAACCCTACCCTATTTTCAATACCAAATATCTTAGAAGTAGAAGCAATGTATGTGCAAAATTTTCAAAGCTCTATCATAAATATTGTGATTACTATCGTATTTCAACAGAAAGACGGACATGGTTAAATCGACATAGGATTTGTTTTCTGATCAAGAATATATGTACTTTATAAGGACTTCGATTAATATTTCGAAGTTTTGCAAACGGAATGACAATTTTAATATATACTCCAAGTTATATTTTATTTTTTTAAGGTCTCTCATAGATTTTTCAAGCATCTTCTATATAGAGAAGAGCCTTACAAAAATATATTGATAAATGACCATCTCAAAGGGAAGACCTCTATAATCGATATTGTCTACAGAAAACCTATAAATGGTCTTCTGAATATATGTAAATGTCCTGTAAAAGACCTATTAAAGGACTGTAGAATACATTTCTTTATACGGAAGATCTCAAGCACTATTAGCCCAAAAGAGGCATCTTTAGGAACACATTGATTCATGTTCTTTTTTTTTCTTTCAGTAATTTTTTCACATATTACATTTTATTAATATAGGTTTGAATACTATTATTATTTCCTATAATAAATCATAAAAATTATCTATTGTTTTTGGTAGAAGAACCCACACCACCTGTCCAATGATACGTTGTTGTTTGAAATATAAAAAATAATATAAAAATTTGGCAACGAAATCAAAATATTTGTTGACAAAATATGTATAAACAAATATTGAATATATAGGATATATTATAAAAAAACACAAAACACTTAATAAACACATTAACAAAATATTAAAATTGTTTTTATAAATTTGGAAAACTACAACAATTAAAAGAGACACTTACCCTGAACGGGCTCATTTTAAAGGTTACATGCTTTTGTAGCATTGATAACAACAATAAAAATTACAACAAATTACTAAACACTTTATATGACACCTTAGCTCTCAAAAATTTCACATGACTTTAAAAAGGGGAACATTTTTTTAATTTTTTATTATTAAAAAATAATATTTTTTTCTAAATCCTCAAAAAACTACATTTTTCAATACAAAACAAAAATACTTCGATTTGCTTCACAAAACACACAAAAATTTCGAATTGAATTTAATTGGCGGTTAAACGATTTTTTTTCTTTTGTTTGGGGTGTTTGGTGGACTTGGTTGAATGTTCTTCCAACAGAGATCGAAAACAGACTAAATGTTCTAAATTGAATTAAATGAGAGAAAAGCGGATATAAACCGAAAACACATCCCATTCAAATATTCACCATCAAGATGTGAGGGAAGATTAGAGGAGTGAAGTGGAGAGGAATGTGGATGTGGATGTGAAGATAAATTGGAATAATTATGTTATGCAGAGATTCTTCGTTCTCATGCATCTCTTTCATCGAGATGAGCATTAACGAATAAGACAACAAACAACAGCAGCAGCATCATCATAAAATGTTACATAGGCACTCACAGCAGATCATATCGACGGGGATGGGGATCTCTTATTTGTTTATGTTACAAAATTTCATAAGGGATGGGGGATTGATGTTATGAACGGATGTTAGCCATAATGAAAAGTCGGATCTTATACTGATACTGGAAATTAAAGTGCTATAAAATGTTATAGTTGCAAAGCTTTATGTTAATTAAAAAAGCTTTAATCGAGAAACATTGCAGAGATGGGAATTAATTTTGATAGATTAGGATAACTCAAAAAAAAAAAAAAAACAGTAAGGAAAGTAGTGAAGTCGGACGGGGCCGACTATATGATACCCTTCACCACTTGGTATATTCAACATGGAATCCTAACAGACGTTGCATTTTTGAAGGACCATAAACAAGAAATTAAACATATACTAAATTTTTCATTTGGTCAGGTATGTAAATGTAAAACTTAAAGCAAAATATCGAAATCTAAACCGAGTTCATCGAAATTTGTCACAGGTTAAGTTATACTAATGTCAGTATGTTTTGTGCATATCGGCCACATTTACTTAAAATCGGGAGAAAATATATGGGAGCTATATCTAAATCTGAACCGATTACTACAAAACTTGGCACACGTAAGCTATACCAATTTCAGTACGTTGTGCAAAATTATGTAGCAAACGACCTAAATTTCTGTCTTTTGTGACCTTTTACTAAAAATCGGACGAAAATATATAGCTATATAGATATAGAGCTATATCTAAATATATATACTAACATCAGTACGTTGTGCAAAATTTTGCGTCAATCGGACCGACTTGGGGAGTTTGGTGCAGCATTTATATCTAACTTCTAGGTTATACTAACTTCAGTACGTTGTGCAAAATTTTGAGAAAAATCGGACGAACATATATATGTAGAAGCTATATCAAAAACTGAACCGATTTCAACGAGACTTGCCATAGATAAATTTATATTAACTACAGTTTGTTGTACAAAATTGTGTGACAATCGGACAAACTTTGGTTCGTTAGTGCACAAGTTACATAAAATCGGAAGAAAAAATATATAGGAGCTGTATCTAAATCTGAACCAATTTTCACGAAACTTAACACACACCATTCCAGACGAAATTTCGTGCAAATCGAAAGATATATAAGGACTTTAGTACACCATTTACACTAAATCGGACGAAAATATATATGGGAGATATATCTAAATCTGGATCGATTTTCGGAAAACTTCACACATCATTCTAGACTTAATTCATTACGCTATGCCAAATTTCGTGCAAATCGAAAGATATATATTTACTTTGGTGCACCATTTACATTAAATCGGAGGAAAATATATATGGGAGCTATATCTAAATCTCAACCGATTTTAAGAAAACTTAGCACACATCATTCTAGACCTAATTAAGTACACTATGCCAAATTTCGTAAATATATATATATATATATATATATATTGGAGCTATATCTAAATCTGAACCGATTTTCACGAAATTTAGCACACTTCATTCAATGCTTAATTCAGTACGCTGAGCCAAATTTCGGGCAAATCTAAAGGTATATAGGACCTTTGGTGCACCATTTACCTTAAATCGGACGAAAATATATATGGGAGCTATATCTAAATCTGAATCGTTTTTCACGAAATTTAGCATACTTCAATCAATGCTTAATTCAGTACGCTGAGCCAAATTTCGGGCAAATCGAAAGGTATATAGGACCTTTGATGCACCATTTACCTTAAATCGGACGAAAATATATATGGGAGCTATATCTAAATCTGAACCGGTTTTTCCCCAATTTCAATAGGGGGAAAATCGTCCCGGGCCATATATGAGCTGTGCCAAATTTCATCCAATTCGAATCATAAATGCGACCTGTACTTCGTTAACAATTTAACATGAACAGACAGACAGACGGACGGACATGCATAAATCGACTTAGAAAGTGAAAGTGCATATTCTCAAAAGGAACCATGTGTCTATTTCGTTTCCTTTTGCCTGTTACAAACATAATCACAAATACATAATAGCCTGTACCACAGTGTGGTAAAGGGTATAACTATCCATCTCTGATTCCAGAGACTATTAGGAAAAGCTTTCCCATTAAAGCTATGCTATGTTAAACTGCTATAAAAAGCTGTCACCAATGGAATAATTCTATATTATGTCAAAAAATATCAAAGCTCTTTTCTTTGGCATGTTTAACAATAAATAGAAAACTACCTAATTTTCACAAAGCTCTCAAGAAGTTTTTACGTTCCCCTAAGCTTATTTCAAAATCAAATTCAACTCTCTAACCGTTAAATTTTAAATAATGAAAAAATACAAAAATTCTCTACTCACCACACAATTGTTACGCATTTGATTGACTTGCATTTCCAAATCCCGAATCCTCTTCACAGCAGCCTCTTCCACACGCGAATGTTTCGATAGCTTATCGACGACCCGCTGCACACCCTCCATTGTCCATGAATGTTGTCGCGGTGATGGATGTATTGGTGAACCTTGATTTGGTGTTTCAATATTGGTGGGCAATGATGTGGGTCCTACACCTCTGGCGGAAATATCTTCGGGACAATTTAAACTCGTAACACTGCTAGCATTCGATTGATGCAGCGATTCAAGAACTTTAGTTTTTTGTTCCAACGTATTTTCAATATCACGCAGTTGTTCAACAACTTGATCCATAATTAAACTTTGTTCAGCTGTAGGTCTAATGTTTTGTAGCTTCTCTTCCAGCTGATTGATACGCATTTGATAGCCATGTTCGATTTCACCTTTTAGCGATTGCACCTCCATCTGGAGGGCATCATTCGAACGTGATTGGGAGTTGATATAGTCCTCAAGTTGCTGAAAAGGGGGAAAGAAAGAAAGAGAGAGGTAATTAAAATTAATTGGAAGTGATTTATTTATTTAAGTACTTACCTTAACCTTTTCACCCATAACATGTTCATTGAGGGCCTTTGTCTCCACTTGGGTCTCCAAATCGGAGATTATTTCACGCAACACAAATATCTTATCTATGGAGGCCTTCAGTTCCACTTCGAATTTATCACGTTTGGCATTCGAGTCCTGCAGTTGTTGGCTTAAATCACGTATTTGATTTTCTAAGTGTTCGACCTAGGTGAAAATGAGAAGTATTTAAATTAGTAATTTTTAATATTATAAAAAAATAATTTTAAAAAAATTGTAAATGAAAATTTAACAAAAAAAATAGAAACGTGTTAAAAACTTACTTTTTTAATTGAAAAACTTTTGTTTTTTAATTATTGTTAGTGAAGCGTGCAAAAACACAAAATTATTAGTTGGTTATGTTAATTAGGTATGTGAGAGTGTGTGTTTTATATTATATATACAAAAGAACATGGTAATAATGAACTCTATTATAATAAAATATTTATTTTTTTATTTGAAAAATAAAAAAATATTTATATTTGAAGCTACCAACGGACTGTTTTACCATAACCCTTTTGAATTTATTTTAAAATTTGTATTAACCAAAATTATTGACTGATTTCATTTATATTTCCTTTACATTGCTTTGCATTGTGAAGGGCTGAAGCAAAAGGGGGTGATAATGAAAATGTGAGAAGAGAAATATTTGAAAATTATATTTGTTTACATCAAATAAGTAAAATCAAAACCATCTAGACCATAACCTTGAAAATGGTTCGTACAGCCAAAACAGATGTGTGTGAAAAAAAGACTTCAGAATATATGAAAGGGGAACACTTAGGTATTTATTTACAGAAGATATTCATAGAGGACTGTGAGGAATATAAACTTTTGTTAAAAAAAGAAAATTATTTCTTCAAATAAAGTCTAAAATATGTTGATATTTACATCAATATAAAAAGAGACCTCAGTGTATTACCTTTTGTTATTTTTAGATGTTTTGAAAATGTGCGAAAAAAATTGTTTGTAATTCTTTTAGTATAAATATTGTAGCTAGTGTTATAAAACATAAACAATTACACGAAGATTATTAACAAATAGCATGCAAAATGAACAGCAAAAAATAAGTAAATTTTAAAAATAAAATTAAATAAATCATTAACTAAATATAAAATATCTTAAATATTTTACAATAAAAAATTGTCTGTAAAATAAATATAAAATAATATATGAGGGGTAATAAACTCCTATATGATAATCCAAAAACCAAGTTAAAGTAATGCACACTATCAAATTTTAGGCCTATATAGGCATTACAAGAATATTCTTTTGGATTACTATAAAACCTTCTACAAGCTTCACAGTTGGAACTTTAAATTTTGTCTCTTCTCGTAGATGGTAAAGGCTTTTAATTTCTACTCTTAGACTTCCAAACAAGGGATATTTTGAAGCATACTTTTAGGCGTATTTTTGAATTTAAAAAAGGACCATTCTTGCGTGAATTTTTTAACAATTTTCATAGACGAACACTTTTAAACAATTCGTATAGCCTATTGGTAGGCCCAAATGTGTGATTTTTTAAACAATTCGTATAGCTTCTTGATATACCCTAAGGCGTGGATTTTTTCGAATAATTTGTATAGCCTCTTGGTACGCACTAAGGCGTATATTTTTTCTAACAATTTTTATAGACTCTTGGTAGGTCCTAAGGCGTTGATTTTTTTAAACAATTTGTATGGCCTCTTGGTAGGACCTAAAACATGAAATTTTTAAAAATTTGTATAGACTAATATTTATCATCCTCCAAGAACCAGGAATGCACAATTACAGTCACTTCAGTGTTAAAATTCGGCTATAGGCTTCAAAAAAACTATAGAGGAATGGCGAATTACAGTTACATTAGTTGGAAAATGTGGCTAAAACCTTTGATATACCGAAACGATAGAGGAATGCCGAATTACAGTTACATTAGTTGGAAAATGCGGCTAAAACTTTCGATATACAGCAAACCGGGACCTTTATATTAAGGGGTCATGCCAAAACATGGAACTATGTTGATAATTTTCTGCATAGATGTATGACGGTTTTCAAGAACTCGGAACGACAAATTTTAGTCACTTTAGTTAATTTTTTTATGTTATCTAATCTTCTCTTGTAGAATTGAAAAATGTAATAAGGCTTGAATTGAGATTTTGAGTATTTACAATGCATACTTTTAGGCTTAGGGGAACCCCCATTATCGAATGGCAGACCTATGAAATTCGAATTTTGGAAATTTTCCTATTTTTGACCACAAATCAAGTTAGGAAATAAGGAAGATCTTCAACGATTAATTCATGCGATAGCTATATATGTGTAGAAGAACGTGTTAAAATTTGGAACGATGGATTATTAGTCTTTTAGTTATCTGCCCGCATTCGTAAAAACACTGTTTCGAGAAAAACACGTTTAAAGTTTGAGAAAAACTCTCATGGAGACACAATAAATCGGCATATATTCAAAAGTTGTTGAGATGTTTACATGCAAATTAAAATTTTTGAAACCGAGAATAGGGAGTCCCCTTTAAAATCATTTTAATTTAGTTTAAATAATTTACTTTAAAATTTTGTAGTCTACTTTAAGGTCTTAATTCAAAGATGTTTCATATATAAATTGAAAGATTTAAGGCCTACTAAGAATTTTTGAGTGCCTAGTTTATTATTTTTTAAGAACATTTGAAATCCTTAATTTGAGGTCCTAATTGAAAGATTACATTACAATAAGTACATTGAGGAAATTATATTTTAGTTGTCAATTAATTAATTTTTAAACATTTTGGAGACCTTAAAAATATATTTTTATGGGTAAAAATTTAAAAGAATATTTGTAAGAATTTGTTCTATATAATTTTGTTAGCCTAATTCTTCAATAATGCCTTCCTTATCTCATAAATATGTTTATGATTTCAAAGTAGAGAACTATTCGTGAATTTTAAAAATAATTGAAAAAATATTCTAACATGATAATTAAATGGACATTTTTAGAAATATTTTTTTTATAAATTAATTTTTTTATAAATTAAATTAATAAATTTTTTTGTAAATTAATTTTCCTCTACGTAAGGTCTAAAAATAGCCCATATGTATATGCCTGTACATATATTTTTAATATTTTTTAACTCAAAAGTTTGGTCCTATTAATGAAATTCTTAAAACAAATAATGTTTGATATTTGATAGATATACCGTTTTAAAGTCATATGAAAAGCTTGTGGTAACTGATGAGTTAAAAAAACCAAGAAATTTTAACACTTTCGAACGAGAAATTCTCAAATGAATATTAAACTACATAATAAATATTATTATAATATTCTTAAAATCATACATACGAAATATCACATTTGAATAATACTGAAGTATTTTATGTGAAGAGAAATTAAATTATAAATTTACATTGAAATGCTTATAAATATAATAAAAATTAAAAACCATTACCAAAATATATAAAAACATATTATTTATAAAGGCAAATAAACCATAACAATATAAATTATAAAAGTGTATATAAAAGACACACAACTTAAAACTATTTTTACAAAAATAAAAAGCAAAACCATTCAAGATATTATAACATTTTTTTTTTTGTTTTTTAATCAAAGCAAGAAAGATTGCAAAAATATAAATATAAAAAAAATTAAAGCAAAAACTGTACAATTCAAACCCAATAGAAATAATAATAACAAATTCAGAATCCATAAAGAAAAAAAGAACCACGAAATCCATAACCATTTCAAAGCAAAGGAAATAGAAGAACGAAAAAACAACCAAACCAAAATTATTAAATGCAGTGGAACGAAAAAGGGGGTACTTGAAGTAGACTCTTGATGGGTAATCTACAAAATCAGTGTTTTGAACTCACCTCCTCAGAGGCATTGGCATACGATGAACGTTCCTTTTCCTTATCTCTTAGTTGAGCTTTTAAATTATCGATTTCCTTTAGGAACTCATCACGTTCCTGTTCACGTTCAATGGCTTGTTCTTCAAGGAATTGCCGTGTTGCCTTTAGTTGTTTATCAGCGGTATCAATCTAGGGGTTTTTTTTTGTTAACGAAGTTATGGTATTTTTAATATAATATTTTAATTTTTTAAATAATTTAAAATTTTTGGGATATCTTACAATTATTATTACAATAAATTTGAATACAAATATAGACTTTTAATAAAATATACAATGGAAATAATAATAATTATGCAATATTAGATAATAAAAATATTATGTGGTTTAAACATATCTCAATATTCTAGCAATTATATATCCTAGTGAAACTTATAAAAATAATAAGAAAGATTTTTAGTTTCAGAATTTCATGAATTCTTAAATAAATTTGGAAAACTATTTTTTTTTAATGATAAAACATACTTTTAGGTACCGATTCCAATTACAGTCGAAATTGCTTAAAGCTATAGTAAACCAGTTAAAACGATGATCAAGTTCGGCCCGGCCGAAATTTTTATACACTCCACCACGAAAATGACATCCAAAATATGTAAAATTAATAAAGAGAAAACTCTTGTTATAACAGGGCCTTCAAGGTACCGAAAAAGACCTGAGAAAAAGAGTGATTACCTAATAGGGGCTACCGTTTTATGGGGTTATCCCAAAACGGGGAACAATATAGATAATTTTGGGTAGTGAAATTTGACTATTTACAGTCAATTCGGTTGAAAAACGTGTTCAAAATTTCTAAAATGCCGACTTGGGTTAATATTAATTATTTCTAGTACAGAGATGAGATGTACCGTTATATGGGAGCTACTCTGAAATTTGGTTCAATATTAATAATTTGTATTATAAGGATGTGCTATACAATGAGAACCCAAAACACCAAATTATAGACAATTCGGCTGAAAAAGAGTGTCGAGAGAATCCCCACAATACCTAATATTGGGGGTACCGTTGTATGGGGGCTACCCTGAAACTTGGTTCAATATTCATAATTTTTAGTACGGAGATGTGCTATGCAACGAGAACCCAAAATATCAAATTACTGACAATTTGGTTGGAAAGAGGTGTTAACAAGTGAAAAAGCGTTAAGTTCGGCCGGGCCGAACTTTGGATACCTTCCACCATAGATATACTAAAAGGTAGTTGAAATGAAAATGTAGGGAAAATACCAAAACCATAATGTGAACCATGTTCCAGAAAATGTTGATTTCATCCAACCTGTGCCTATCTTATTATTCTTCCAAACTTAGTTCAGGTTCGAAAATGTGGACTATCGGTCCACTCCCTCTGATACCTCCCACACAGGTCCTAGGCCTAAATGCGGGTTATAGTTCATGTATAGTTCATTATCGAACCTTACGTTCTAACTTTATCTCGATATCCTCCGCAAGTTAAATGATTACGACAGAGTCTTAGAACCAAACCCAAAACGCGGAACAAATTAGATAACTATTTTAATATAAAAAAATGGGGGTTATATGGGGACTACCCCAAAAAGGGGGGCGAATATAAATAATTTTTGGTAGGGAGATTTGCTACCATATACGACTACAAAATACCAAATTGCAGCGAATTCGGTTGAAAAACGCGCTCAAGAACCCCAAAATACCGAATATTGGGGGTACCGTTATATGAGGGCTACCCGAAAAAATGGACCTATATTCATAATTTTTTGTGGAGAAATTTGGTACCTATTAAGAACTCAAAACACTAAATTACAGACTATTCGGTGGAAAAATACGATCAAAACCCCCAAAATACTGAAAATTAGAAGGTGCCGTTATATAGGGGCTACCAGAAAAAGTGGACCTATACTCATAATTTTTTGTGGAGACACTTAGTACCCAATAAGAACGCAACGTATCAAATTTCAGCGAATTCAGTTGAAAAACTCGGTCAAGAACCCCAAAATACCGAAAATTGGGAGGTACCCTTATATGGGAGCTATGCCTAAACGTGGACCGATATATCCCATCTTCGAACTTGACCTGCCTGACAACCCTATGCAAAATTTCAGCACCCTATCTCAATTCCTTCAGAAGATAGCGTGATTACAACAGACGGACAGACGGACGGAAATACCGAATATTGGGGGAACTGTTATATGGGGGCTATACCAAAACGTGGACCTATATATCCCATTTGGAATACCAAACATCCTAGGAGTACCAGCAATGTCTGTGCATAGTTTAAGATAGGGATCTTAAATATTGCGATCTTTATCGTGATTTCAAAAGAACAGATAGACCTTATGGTGGAGGGTATAAAATGGTACAATTTTGTCGGTGATTTCGGTATCCTTATTAACGATTTCGATTGTAGGTAATTTCTAAAATCCCTCGTTCCATGAGAACGCGGGGGATAGATATCATAAAAAATTGTATGGATTTGAAAATTATTTCCATGAAATTCTTAAAGAAAGTACTATAAAAAAGTCATATTTAACGACATATGGATTTTAAAGCATACTTTTAGGCTCCGATACGCATTTTTTTAATTATATGTTAAAGGTTTTAAATTCGACATATACAAAAATTAAATCTATTGTTATGTTAAAATTATACCACAGTCGAAATTCTCTATATGGACGCAATTCCAGACCGACGAATTACCACAAAAATATTTTGAGTGGAAAATTTCAACCAAGTTTCAACAATTGTCGAATTGCCATAAAGAGGTTCAACTGTACTTCAAAATATGGACATTATCTTAAGCTTATTTACAGCTATTAATTTAATTTATGAACGATACAATATTAAACTTAAATCTAAAAATTATCGTTTAATAATTTCTATTACAAATATATGTAATCACAATATCGATTTAAGCATGCTGTTGTTTGTTCGATGCTACAATTTTTTCTAATATCAAATATTTACAAATTTTATTTTACTACTTCTTAAATAGACAAATCGAAAAAAAGTGAAAATTGAAAACTCACCTGCGATTGCAAATCTTCACGATCTTTTTTACTGCACTCCACAACCTTGTCACCCTCACGGCAGAAGTCTTCAATCATTTGTAGCAGCTGAGCCGTGGAATCATTATTTGTTTGCTTTTGGGTGGGCGTCGAAAGAATGTTTCTTGCCTTCTCCTGCAACTGGGCAAATCCTGATGATGAGTGGTCGGAACCCGATAAACGTTGTGGCGATTTCACCAGAGATGAACCCAAACCATAACCTTCATTATATTCCACATTATTGATGGAAGAAAGTTGTGATAGCTGATCTCGCAAATGTTGCAGCTCTTGACCCAAATCGGAATTACGTGAAATTGTGTGATCCAACTCCTGTTGCAGCATGAGACGATCATTTTCCGATTTAATTAGGCGATTTTTCAATTCTGTCAATTGGAAATGTAGTTCCGCTGCATTAACTCCACCCGTTGTACTGGAGGAGTTATTATCCAAATATAGGCGATTTAAATCTGGTGGTAGGGATATCAAATTCTGCGCCTGTCCCATTAACGACGAACGATGATGGGTGGGTAGTTGCTGCTCATTCAATGAATTGCCACGAACAAAACGACGATTTTGTTGCAACTTCAAACCATCCTCCTGTTCGCTATCATTTTTCTCCCTCTCACTGGAATAGGAATCTTTACGACCACTATTCACGCTATGTTTCTTAACCAAATCTTCTGAGAGATGCAACAGATATGAAGCCTCTGAACGCAAACACTCCAAACAATCCTTTAAATCGAAATCTTCCGAAACATCGTTGTTCTTCTGGGTAATATATTCAATTAGACTTGGGTCCTCAACAACTTCCATAAGATTATGGACATCGGGTATTAGACGCATACGTGTTGAATTTAAAGTTTCATTGAGTAACGTTGTATTGAGGGTAAAATCTTCTAGGTTATGTTCTTCTAAAGTGCGATTACAGGTTAATAGACGTTGCACCTCATCCATGAGGGCTTCTGTCAGTTCATTTTCACAATTGTTTAAGCATTTCAGTAATTCTGCCAATACCTGACGGAAGGCATTCGATAGCTCACGTAAATTATCACGTTCACTTAGTAGCTTTTCATAATCGCGTATCGAATCAAATGTCGAATGACGTTTGTTCTTGCGATTTAATTGTTTTTCATAGTCTAATTTTAGGCGCGACATCTGCAACGAGAGGGAGAAATAAAAATTAGAAAATATTTCAAAAATTGTATTTGAAGAGCTTTGAATCATTTTGGGGGTGAAGTGAAAAGTAGGTCTTAAAATCCAATCAAGGTTTATATGTGCCTAAAAGTGTTCCTTAAAACAAAGATTAATATGTGCCTTAAAATCCAATCAATAAATCTCGAAGGGGTTTGAAATCCCTCGTTTTGGAGGTCAGAGGCCAATCAATGCCTAAAAGTATTCCTTAAATTGCAATCAAAAATTCTCTAAGGGGGTTGAGAGAAATTTTGATTGGATTTTAGGGAGGCCTACTTTTAGTCACTGATTAATAATCTGATTTATAAATCTGTCTGTTTTTTATCCGCTATCCTCCTTATATTGAATTATTATCTCCTCTCTTTTTTTGGCTTACCTCTTCAGCATGTTTAATCTGCAATTGGGCAATTTCTAATTGACTTTTCGCTGTAAATTTCTCACGCAGCAAAATCAACTCCTTCGGCCAGTGTTGGTCATCTGTCGTTGATTCTGACAATAAGGTCTACAAATGAAACAAAAAATGTTAACGATCAAATTAGTAAACAACATTTCAATGAAAACAAAAAATAAATTAAAAAAGTTTTGAATGTAAAGGAAATAAACGATTTTTTTCATTTTGGTCTGAAACTGAAACAAAACATGTAAATATTTACAAAATAATGATGGATATTAAATTATATCTTGGCAATGCAAATAGTTTACATTGAAGGGATTCCCCTCCACAATTTTCTTTAATAAATTAAAAATATATGAAAGAAAAAAATATATGAAAGAAAAAAATATATGAAAGCAAAATAAAAATGAAGTGAAATAAGAAGGGATGCATGGAGGTATTGTGGCAAATGTGTGCGTGTGTGTGGGCAATGTATGGCTGCAGATTTCATTGCATTGTGACGTCCAGCGCCATTGCATGACGGAAATGTGCTGTGATTTTGATGGACGTAAACAAAAATTTAATTTATTTTTTTCCTTCGTTTGTTGCTTGAAAAAAACAAGAAGAAGAAGAAGTCGAAGTAGCAAATGTTGTGGCGCTCTTTTTATAACTTCATGTGTGTAATTTTTTGGTATTCCAAAATTTAACATATGACAGACACATGTTTGAAAGTTTTGTTTCAATAGAAATAAGTTGTACTTCTCTCCCTTCCAACAAAACAAAAAATAGGCCAACAAGTTGTGCAATGTTTATTTTTTAATGAAATTGTAAATGAAATTGTAAATAATCAAAAAATGCGCGAGTCTTAGCAATAAACCTATAATACCAAATTTACACGAAATTGTTTCAATAATTCCCAAAAAATGCTCACAAATTGTAATATTGATTGAAATTTCTTTAATCACAAAATATGTGTACAAATGGCGCCCAACGTGAAGCTCTATTACTAGTAAAAAATCTTTATCTTTAGGAAAATTATCTTTTAAAAATATATATTCCAACTAAATTTTTCTTTGTAAGAATTGCGATTACAGAGTTCAGTCCACAAATTCAAATGGCACCCGATTTCACACTTCTCAGGGAGCACTATTGGATATACTCGCCAAAATCATTTAAAATAGTTCAAAATTGTGTTTTAGTTTAACAAAATGGGTTTCAATTGAAATGTTGATAGACATTTGTTTAAACATGAACTATAAATACAAATGGCGCCCAACATTGGGTTATATTAATAGGAAATCAACTAATTTTAAGGTACTCTCCTTTCTTGATATTCACTTAATATAATTTTGATTCCACAAATGCAAATAGCATGAACGATGTATTGGAGCAAAGAAAATGTTCCTTTAAATTTTTGATGTGAGGCTCCAAAGGCGGCGATCAATGTGAAGTCCTTTCAATGTTTAAAACGTATAAATGATTATACAAATCTCGAATATCACAACAATAAATTCCTTGAAGATTAAAAAAAAACTTTCTCGACCGAAAATACAAATACGATTGCCTTTGCTCTAAAAGTAGGAAAGTAAAAAATAGCGCCCAACGTTGAATTCTTTCCTATATATATGGGTTTACTGAATTGCATCGTTGGATATTTATATTTTAATTTTGATTTGATACTATAACTCTCCATATAGTCATTTGTCTTGAAATTAAACTAAATAACAATGGCGCCCAACGTGGAGTACTGTTGATTATTGCAATTATAATTTTAGGATTTTTTAAGAAAACCTGAATATTTAGCATTGCAACATTAAATTGATGCAATGTTATTGAACTTTAAACAATAATGGCGCCCAACGTGGAGTTCTGTTCATCACTTTGGACATTTATAACAACAACAAAAAACAAAATTCTCTACACATTGAATTTTTAATGAATAGAATGACATCAGTTTCAGCAACATAATTCTTATCAATTTTAAATAAAAAAAACAATAATGGCGCCCAACGAGGAAATCTTTTGATTATTGCTATAATGGTTTTGGATTTAGGCTTTAGCCTCTGTTATTAATTGTAATTAAGATGATTTCCGAATATTTTGAGAAGACTTCTGGGCAATAATTTTGGGTTTTAAAGGAAGAAGTAATAAAATGCTCTTTAGAACACGGTTTTGGGGGTATTTTTAAGGAATTATTTTAGAATGTACCTTGTGATAATTGAATTATTATTTTTTAACTAAATATCAAGATAGCCTCAAAGTATTCTTTTAGGAAAAAACTAGTGGATTAAATAAGAAAACAATCCCTCATAGGAACCCTGGATTTTTTAGAGAAATATAAAAATCACCTTCTAGAAACTATCTTGAGTATTCTGTTGGGCAACAACTTCCGAATTTTCAAAATAAAAACTAAATATATAAATAATATATCGATGATTTTAAAAACAAATCAGAAATTTAGGCCTTCTTTTGGACCATAACAATCCCCGAAAGTTTAATGCATTTGGAAAGTCTCTGATTTACAATATTGAACTCAACAATATTTCTAACATTTTAAAAATATTTTTGGAAAATAATAAAGGGTCTTTGTTTAATGTTAAAATGAAACAAATGGCGCCCAACGTTGGGTTCTGTAGATGCTTGAAATCCACTATCTATAGAACGTTTTATACCGCAATAATATCATCCTTAACAATGTGTGTCCCATTTGACAATTAATAACCATTATCACATGTATGAATTTTATTTGATAGTTCCCCACTCCAAGTTTGGTCACTTTTCCCTTTTTGTAAGTGAAAGCAAATAATGGCGCCCAACGTAATGCTCTTATGTGCCTTTTATCAGATTAGTATTTTATGTATTACAATAATTCTTTCAAAGAATGATATTTTCTCTCCCTCTCCTCAATGTTATTTCTATTGTTCTTCAACCACTTAGTGACCTTGCTAATGAAATCTTTGGCTATATGATTTTGGTTTGTGTGAATGTTTTCTTTTATTTATCCACAATGAAAATTGAAAAACAAAGCAGACCAAATTTTAATATTGTATTTTTTCCAGATGCCAGGGTCAAGTTTATTTTGCGGGTGTAAAGAATATGTAGACAAATTAATTACAATGTCATAGATTTTTGGGATGGGCAAAAAATGGGGATTTGTAAGGCGGATCTTTAAAAAATATATTAAAAGAAATATATTTTTGGCAATTTTTATAGCCTTCACCACACTGTGGTACAGGGTATTATGTCTTTGTGCATATGTTTGCAACAGGCAAAAGGTAATGAGATAAACCCATGGTTCCTTTTGAGAATCTGCATAGAATCACTTTCTGAGTCGATTTATGCATGTCCGTCCGTCTGTAGATGTTAAATTTTAAACAAAGTACAGGTCGCATTTATGATCTGATTTGGATGAAATTTGGCACAGCTCACTTCTTTGGCCCAAGGGCGAACCTTATTGAAGAAAATCGGTTCAGATTTATATATGGCTATATATATATATATATATATATATATTTTCGTCCGAATTGATGTAAATGGCGAACAAAAGCCCCTGTATTTCTGCCGATTCACACGAAATTTGGTATATCACACTAAATTAAATCTAGAATAACGTGTGCTAAGTTTCGTGAAAATCGGTTCAGATTTAGGTATAGCTCCCATATATATTTTCGTGGGGTTTAAGGTAAATGGTGCGGCAAAGTCCCTAAGTATCTTTCGATTTGCACGAAATTTGGCATAGCGTACTAAATTAAGTCTTGAATGATGTGTGCTAAGTTTCGTGAAATCGGTTCAGATTTAGATACAGCTCCTATATATATTTTCTTCCGAAAAGTCCCTAAATTTATTTCGATTTGCACGAAATTTGTACGTATTGAATTGAGTGTATAATGATGTGTTCCAAGTTTCGTGAAAATCGGTCAAGATTTAGATATAGCTCCCATATATATTTTCGTCTGATTTAATAGAAATGATGCACCCAAGTTCTTATATATCTTTGGTGCACCATTTATTCTAATATATGTCAATGTTCTTTCGAAAAGGCGACGTCTGTTAGGAGACTATGTAGAATATACCCAAAGTGGTGAAGGGTATCATATAGTCGGCCCTGTCCGACTTTATTACTTTCCTTACTGCTTTTCTATTGGAAATGAGTATTCTTTAAAGGAAAGGAAAAGGAAGCTTACATCCCCTTCCATCGGAAACCCCATCTAATAACCAACCTCAGTATCGGTAGATAGCACCACACAGAGAGAAATGGCAACATCCATCCGAAACCCCCTGACACCCCAAACAGAAAAAAATGAAACACTACATAAGCAAGGACCCTAACCACTGCACAAAATTAAAGGAGACGTTTCTTCTAGACAAGGATAGATGGCAGTCCTATCATATAGGACAGGCTGGTATACAAAAACCAATAATTAAGGAAACAAAGAACTAATAAAATAAGATGAGGAGTATCAATGTTGATTGAGTTCAGAAAGTCTCCGATATTTAATAGGCAAGTCAAATATATACGACTTTTTTCTGCCCGGTCGAAGTTAACGTCATTTTTACTTGTTTATTCCAAAATTATCTACCCTTTGATGTTTGTCCCTAATAACATCACGTTTCCGCACATCTCACAGTTATCATATTTCAGATCTTTCCCCCATCCCTTGAAATACAACTCTAATTACATTTTTTAATTAAAATATGTCCATAATCCAATAATACAACTACAACTCTCTCTTTCGAAATCCTTTCAGACAGGAAATGTCATAGTACTCCAAGAGGAAAGAGACTAAAAATAGGCTAAATTCATTGAAGTTGGCTTAGCAGATAGTTACACACACTCACACAATGACACTTTACATCAAATAATCTGTCAATTATTTGTTGTAGACAAATAAGTGAAAGGCGAGATATTCCGATATTCTGAAAGTCAAATGTTCGACAACAAACCAATAACACATGCCACCATCAGACATACGTACAACAACTAATGATTGTCTTGTGTTTTGTTTACACCCCCGTCGCTCCAACACCACATCACACCACTCTTTTCAAAAAAAAAAGAGATACAAATTCATTAAAGGGAAGTGTAAACATAAATTGGTACCGACGGCGCGACATATACCACAAAAAAG